AAGTGGAGCACAGAGTGAAACAAAAGGCCAAACAAGAAGTGGAGGCCGAGAGGCGGTCAATGAGGGACCTGATGAAGGGCGAGATGGAGGAACTCCAGTCCCATCTGTCAAAGTTTGAAAAGGTTTTCCCATTTGATTCTCTATACAAAGGTTGTGCACAACCATCGAGTTGTGTACAGAATTGTCACTCCAGTGATAAGTACTACCGAACTCTCATTTGACGTGTAGATCGACTCCTGGCTTAAGGATAATCACAATAACATGACTGAAGAGAAAGTGAACGAAATTCGCACAAAACTCGACGAATCGATGCAGGAGTCGAGACAACTGAAGATGTCTTTAATGGACACACAGACCAATGTGGCGCTCATGAGGACAGAGTTGGCACAACTGCGCAACCAATACGACCAGAAGTGCCGGGAACTGAACCACGAGATGGGACGGGTAGCCGAACAGCACTCAGAGCACCAGCACCTCACTCAACAACTATCACTCTTGCAGTAAATCAAATCAAACTGTTTTCTCGCTCTTATTGTTAAGTTAGCGTTAACTCAGCCAACAATTGCTTTCTATTTGTTGAACGTTATCACAAAAAAGTGTTTATCTATTGATTTATTTGATGTCAAACAGAGAGGCGAATCAAAAACTTCACGACACCAACGATACGTTGCGTACGGTTCTGGAGTTGACACCAATGCAGTCGAGGAATGCATCCCCGGAACCATTCCATGATAGCAGCGGTTCCGGTCCTAAACGGGGATCACTTATCGGTGATTACATTAGGACTGATCCCTTTAAACATAGGAATCGTGACACCTGTAGCCGGTATTCATTGAAATACTATTAAAACTGCAGTTATTTTAAATTTATTTCTCTTTTTTGCTTAAGACTATCGGAAACAGACTTCGAGTCCGTATCAGTGTTTTGTGAGGACAGTGCCTATCAATCAAATCGGCAATCGTTTGCTTCGTGTCCACCGATGAGTGCCATTAAGACTATAGTAATGACAGACGATATGGACAGCGGGTTGTCCTCAATGAAGACGCGGTCTCATCAGTCGTCGCCTATTTTGATGTCATATTACAAGAGGGATGAGTCGCCGAAAAGTGAATGTAATTCCATAATCACAACCACCCATTCCATAAGCAATATGATAGGGGATGCTACCGGTGCCCCCGAACGCACCTACAAAATCATATTCATTGGGGACGCCTCTGTGGGAAAGTCCACATTCATTCTCAGGCTATCGAAAGGCTATTTTGCAACTCAATTGAGTACTACATTAGGCGTCGATTTTCAGGTATATATTTACACCAATTTGTATACACCTCTGGGCTTACAGTGAAGTGACAGATGCCTGTGCTGTGTGTTATAGATGAGGACCTGTAGCTTTGATGGCATGAATATATCGCTCCAGTTATGGGACACCGCTGGGCAGGAGAGATACAGAAGTATTACGAAAAACTATTTCCGAAAAGCGGACGGAATTATGCTTTTATATGATGTGACGAGTGAACAGTCTTTCCTTAATGTCAGGGAATGGATCTCAACCATTGAAGTCTGTATTTGTATTACAAAAAACATTTTTATTGTTTTCTAATATTAATGAATTTGCGGATAAATAGGAGGTGAAGGCAAAGGGCATTCCGGTGATGATTGTGGGCAACAAAACTGATTTACGGCCGACGCTTATGGCACAGGATCTGAAGTATGTGAAGGCAGAGGACGGCTATAAAATAGCCCAACAGTACGGCCTTATGTTTGTGGAGACCAGTTGTAAGGACGGCAATAATATCATGTCATCCATCGCTCA